TTAAGCCTTAATGCTCTCCCTCTCCCCCCGCAGGGGAATTTCAAAAATTCCCTTCTTAGTGTGCGTTTCCATGAGGTACTCTAACTGTGTACCAAATTTCACCTCTTTAGGTTCAGCGGTTTGCTCTGGGCAATGATGAATCAGTGACTCAATCAGTCAGTCAGGACAAGTAATTTTATATATTTAGATAAATATTTTAATAATATATCTACTTATACTTTTCAACATATTCACATTTCTAACACAAATTTAATGTTTTCATAATCCATTGTATTCTTCACTATATGATGATCACATTAAAAGTACTGCTGCCAGCATGTACCTCCTAATAGTGAACACCTTTAAATAGTGTTAGTGAACAAACTTCTCAGTCCAACAGTGTTTGCCATTCAGAGGTTATACTATACTTTTCTCTCTATTTATAGAAATCAATTAACTTTAATAGGAAATTAGAGCTGAATTATTTCGAAATATTCCATTGTAATTATAAATAAATTATTCTATTAAATATTCATAAAAATGTTTAAAGAATTTATATAAAAACAATTATTAATACAAATGCTTTTACCTTTAATATACATTTATAATTGCAGGCAAGAGAAGCATGCTGTAAAGCTTTGATCACTGAAGCATAAGAGTCTTTCAATTGGGTATATTTTCCCACTAAGGCAATAGAGACTATTTTAGTCAGATGATCAGACCTTTCTGCTAGTTCTTGCCACTTATTCATTAAACGTCTTGGATAGGGAATTGGAACAGGTAAGTGTAATCTTTCAACAAAAAATGATACCAAGCCTTGATCTTCCATGAATAATGGAACATGATATAAAGAAGGAACATCTGGAATGCAAATTACCTAGAGAGAAATAAGTTGTTGTTAGGTATTAAAAACATTCTAATTGAATTATTATAAAATGATCACATCTGTACTATTTTAAACTACTCTTTTAAAATTTTTGTTTTAATTTTTCTCTCTGTGTCCTGTAGGCACTAAGGGAGTCATTTTTCCATACCCATATCAGTTTGGTGGTCCCTTCCTTCACAATTGACCACCCAGGTTGTGAAGGAAGGGACCTCCAAGACAGGCAATCAATGAAAAATTCCTAGAGTTGCTTGCACAGATTTACTCCTGGGTCCCCAGAATGGTAACTATCTTAAGATAGGTGATACCTTAACAACATTGACCATCCAGCCACCATATTTTTAAAGTTTTAATTTTCAATTTCTTTTACTAAATACTAGGATTCATTAATAATATACTTTAAAACTACTTATTTTTAATAATAAATATAAATATTAAAATTGAAAGATATTAGTGAAGATCTTAGTGATGTTCTTTCCCAACTCCGTCTCATTGAGTTGGTTTCCATGTGTATCACGATTCGATGTAGTGATCCAGGTTCAATGGAAAGCACACCTCCACACTCAAATTGATAATATTCACAGTTTATTTACAGATTTCTATACGTAGAAGGTACACGTTTGAAAACATAATATATATATATATATATATATATATATGATAACAATGCGTGGTGACTCACGTACTAGCTTGGTTTCTGGTAACTTTTAAACTTTGAACAGGACTCAGTCAGCTCGTGGAGTTGGCTCAACTGCACGGTCCGTCCAGTCTCCGCACTAACCCGTCCCTGAGATGTTTATCAGAGGAGAACACTCTCTCTATGCTCAGCGGACCTTCCAAGTGCCTGAGACTACTGTGTACCAGTCTCTTGCTCTTCTCTCTTCCTCTCTCGTTCTTCCCGCAATTTAAGGGTTTTTTTGGACGGGGACTTCCGACCAATCACAACTCCTTCTTGCCCGAACAGCTTACAACTCGGGTCCGCCGTCATCCGACGAAAGTGAAGCTTACATAAATGTCCGCCACTTGTTTACATTCAGTTGTTTACCATATGGCAAATGGTCTATCCTCTATCGTCTGACTACAGGTGGGTCCATTGACAAAGCCGGCGCTTTCTTTGTTTTCCCTTGTTTACAGGTCAATACCTTATAAGTGGTATTACCCGACCGCACGTGGGTCCAATTGACAAGGTTGTGCCTCTTTTGTTCCCACTCTGCAAAAAGGTCAATACTTTACAACGATCATATAGATTATAAAAGTTTTTTATGTTTATGAAAATATCCGTAATTTAGATATGTTCGGGAGATACGGAACAGGTTTTTTTTTTTTTTTTTTTAAATCTTCACAGAAGTTTAAAGATTACTTTATATATTACTTTATCTACGATCTTAATTAACAATGGACGTTTACTCAATTATTATTTTGCAAAATATGATTAAATACAAAACTTGATGTCTGAATATTACATAATAGTTTTTTATCGTTCATTGTATTTATTATCTTATGTTTATGAAAATGTTTTATATTCATACGAAATTATCGTATGAATATAAAATATGTTTAATACTAAATTAAACCGTAATTAAAACGTGTTTAATACTACGAGTTTCGTTGAAAAAGTAATACAATAAAGCAGAATTTATTTTGATGCTAGTATGAAACATACAATCATGAAATTTAGGAATGTCATGTTATTTTTCAACCAAGTTTTCGCCCTTGTCTTTGGCCATACGCCAGCACTGATGAAGGGATGAAGGACACGTGTGCCAGCTCTAATACTAGTCCTCATTCCGTGCATGCAAACACTTTTTCATAGCACTGATAACATCTTCATCTGACTGGAACTTTATTTTTGGTCATCTCGTCGCCATCAAAACTCCTAGCCTTACAAAAGTTATTATGCAATTCGTTGCTGCTGTTTGGTTAATCATGAGCTTCTTCGGGACCCATCGTGAACACATTTTGACATATCCATGTTCACGTATGATTTGACGAACACTCCCGGTAATCAATCATTTCTCGAGAATCGGTTCATGAACGCGCTGCGTCATGGTTGCCATAACAATTTGCAGAGATCTGGTATTCCTATTGTCGTTGAATTCGCGCATTTCTCCCAATCACTGACGGTGCTTCGGTTGACAGTTACAGTACCATAGATACCACACAATCGTTTGTAAATGCTTCCAACAGCTCCTTTTCAGCAACGACGAATTTTATTACTGTATGCATGCTGCTTGCAACGTAAGTCGCTGACATTCGCCATTTTTTAACGAAGATGTTGTGGTTCCGCCTGACGGGGTACTTTAAATTTTTCGCAACGTTATCAAAAGCTTTCGGGTACAACTGAAAAGTGGAGCCATGTCACATTCTTCGTTTCTCATATTTAAATTACGATGCAGTTCTTTTCGAACACCCTTTGTAAAAGTGCATATTTTTAATTAATGTGATCTTTAATGACATTTTCTAATAATTTTTTATTAAGTTGTAGGAAAACTTTTTGCATTTTCTTTTATATTTATAACTTACGCATACATTTAAATCCTATTTAAATAAATTCGAATCAAGACGAATCGTGATCGCTAGCAACAAAAAAAAACTTTAGTTTGTCAGTGGTTTGTCGAGAACATGTTGAAAATTTGCCAAATTTGGAAGATAGTATCGCATCGCATGAGAGAATATAAGAGAACCAATTCAGATCTTTTATTATTATTATTATTATTATTAACGTCAAAACCTGACTTAACTAGGGCAGGTTACATAGCGTTACAAAACACGCGGTCCTTTCGGCCCCCCAAATTTTTTTTGATTTTTGGAATGTTTCTTAAGTCTCCAAATTTTTTCAAAAATTTTTACCCGCGCAAAAAATTTTATCGCGATTTTAATCAACCTTTAATGACGCGCGATTGTTTTTTAATGCGATTTTTTTTATCAAAATTAATTAATCGTTCTAAAGTTGTAGTGCACGGATTTGACTTCGGTAAAGTTATTTAAAGCTACTTTATGATGTCAAAAACGACCTCCAATAGTTTCTTAATGTTTTTAAAATTAATATATTTTATTATATATAAGTTTAATTAAATCGGGGGGAGGGTCGGAAATCGAAATTAAAATTTTATTTTTTTAAAAATATTTACCGCCAGATAATATTCACCCTACTTTAAATACTTGTCCTCCCGAGACATCTATGAGAATGTCCCGGGAAATCCGACACCAGATGTCCTCAAGGTCATCCAGCTGTGTAAACAATGACCCATCGGTGTCAAATTTCACAGAAGGGCGAGAAAAAGGAAGTTAAACTTTGAAGCTTTTTTTTCAAAATTAACGTATTTCTTTCGTTTTTTTCAGTTTTAAGTATTTTTTATGTTTAATTAAAAATTCCTTTAAAAACATTCGTACGGCAAGTGGTTAAATATCTTCTGCATATCCTTAAATGGCACTGTATGAAATTTGATTGCAATTAGAGTGATAAATATCTATTTGGCCGGCATTGACTTTGGGTTCTGTAAATACAATCATGATCCCACTTATAATTAGTGTTATTGGAAATTTGCTGAAAATAGATTTTTCCCCCTATCTAAACATCGCGTTATTTACGAGCGTACAGAATTATATGCAAATGCAATATTAAATGTGGAAATGCACCTGTAAATAAATATATTTTATTTTTTACATTTAGAAAACAAAACATATAGGCTATTGTTCAAGTGTATATAGTAAATATATATACATACATACATACTTATTTCTATTTTCGGAAAGTCAGAGGTCAATCCACATAATCTGTATTCCGATAATTGGAGTTGTACTGTACAAAACAACCAATAATTTATCATAAATGAATGAATTTAATTGCTAATAATACAAATAATTACTATTTAATTTATATCCAGTTTTATAGATGACCTGTATTATCCAAGATTAATTAATTCACAATAGTAATTAATCAAAATTATTAACATTATTATCATCTTCCAGATATTAACGTCATATTCACAGATTTTACTTTAAATTATTATTGGCATTCTTCAGAAGTTTTCTTGACTTATTGAAATAATTTTATAATTTTATATTAAAATTTAGTTATTAATTAATATATGAAAATAATAGCAATTGATTAAATAATTAATATTTTTCAGATCCGTTATGAAATTAAAATATCTCAATATTTTCTTATCGAAGAAGTTTAGACAATTAGGATTATGTGTTGGTAATAATCCTTCTTACTTTATCGTCATTCCGATGATTGTATCCGTGGTATTAGCTACGGGTCTTCACAAGTGGCACGAAGAAACGAGTGTAAAATATTTAATTGCACCCAAAAATACCAGACACGTTACTGAAGAAGCCTCCATAGAAAGTCTGTTTCCCATGAACTTATCTTCCGATGCTTACATGGAAAGAATGAACAGAGAACCAAACGTAGCAGTAGTCCTAGTTAAGGCAAAAGATGAAGGATCCGTGCTTCGAAGAGACGTATTTCAAGAAATTATTCAATTGGATAAAACTGTTCAAAATATAAAAACTGCAGAGAATTTCACATATAAAGATTTATGCGCAAGAAATAACAAGAGATGCTTCGAGAATTCTATTTTATTAATGCAAAACGAAATCGAAATGATGGAAAACAACACTTATTCCATCAAATACCCTTTAAGCAAGAAAGATAAATACGATTTTCAATTAACGAGTTTATTTTTAGGAGGAGTCGAAAAAAATGCAGACGATTACGTTAAAAGTGCTAAAGTATTGCGACTCGTTTATTACTTTAACGACTATTCGAAACTTGAAAGAAGCAAAGTGGAAGAATGGCAAAATCTGTTTTTAGATCTTATTGAATCGAGTAATTTTCAGTACATAATCGTCGATCGATACACATCGATTACAATTGAACAAGAGTTATCTGCTGTCGTCAGTCGAATATTTCCTCGAATACCGATTGCAATGTTAGCAATAGCAATCTTTTCAATGCTGACCTGTTTGTATAACAGTTGGATCGAAAGCAAACCTTGGACTGGAATAATTGCGTTAACATCGGGAGGAATGTCTTTGGCTTCGTCATTTGGATTGATTATGTATTTTAATACACCGTTTGTGGCTCCTGCTGGATCTATACCCTTTTTAATCATAGGTAAGAGTTACTTTCAATTCGTACCAATTCAATGATTATTATTTTTCTGGTTAAAGTTTTACGTATTGTTTCTATTTTGTTTATTATTATATTACTACTGTTTTTTTATTGATTATGTTACAATTCAAATTACATTTATTTTTTTAAATAAATATAGTTCGGAAAGGAGCACCTAACTCATTTCAACACTGAAAAAAATATTATTACCAAAATTTAGGTAAATTTAGATGAAATTTATAGGTTTATAAAGCGAAGCGCTTTATAAACCAAAAAGTGTTTTGATTGAAGTTTAAAGCAACAGCACGACCATTACACATAGTTTTATGCAAGTATCTAGAACTCGATAAAACTGATAACGTGTCTAGAATTCGTCACAAAGTCTTCGAGTTAAAAGTTTAAACAACTACACAACCAGCAAACATAAAATTTTGAAATATACTTCGTTTTGAAATGATAAAGTTACTGCTTTGTAATTATAATAATCAAGTAATTAGAATTACATTGTGGAATTGATTTCTTTGCAGACACGAAGTGTTTTAATGCCGGTACTGGAAGAAATATTTTTTACAGTTTTATAAATAACATGCAATTAATCACACTTTGACCCAATTGATCTAACTGACTCCCGATTTCTTGTCATTTTGCCATAAGAAAAGTTATTTCTACCCCTTCGAATTTTTTAATGAAGATCATTATAAAACAATACAAAAGAATTGGTTATTGATTTATTACGACGTTAAAATAATAATTTTATTGAAAATGAATGAAAATAAAAATAGAAATAAAAACTACACTTTTAATTTAGGAATACGAAAGATCTATGTCCAAATTATGGTTGCTTTAATGTTAAATGTGTCACGACTGTTTATNTTAAACAAGTTTTAAGTTAATTATACGGAAAAAAAATTACGATTATTTTTACTGAATTTCCTATTGGTCAGGAGACACACACGTAACAAAAACGTCAAAGTTGCTCGTAAACAAATGTTTATGTTTCAAAAGAAAACAGATATTACGTCGAAAACTATCTTCTTAGTTATACTTCCTAGTGAATAAATTCACGAATCATAATTGAATTTATTAATTAGGATTAACAAAGTGTTAATTAAAATTACATTGATAGACAATCATATTTACTGCTTACTACTTGATAAAGGAAATCGAAAGAGGTATGTAATTCTGAAATTATAGCAGAAAATCAGATAAAATTAAGTTAGTTTCTCTTCTTATTTCATGCACGACGGTAGCAAATTTATAGTAAAAATCAGTAAGAATATTCAATTATATATTTATTATATCATACTGAAGGAGTAAATACGGTAAGATGGGTATCTTACCGTATTTACTCCTTCATTATTTTAAGTTTAACAGTAATTATTATGGAATGTTTCATTAATTCGAAAGTAAGAATTTTCTTCATTTTTATATTTTTAAATCGTAGATGAAGTAACAAAAATAACTTTAAAATTTAATTTAAAGTTTATAGTCAATACTTTATACTCAATACTTTATACTCAATACTTTACACCAATTTATAAAAATTCATTGTCTCAGTTAATATTAAAAATGAAATCAAAGTATTAACGAAGTGAATTAAATGAATTTTAAATTAACAAAAACGCAATAAAATTAGAATAATCTAAACATTTAAATTACTCATTCTTTCCACTCACGCTAACCATACGTATAACAATATATGCACAAGCTAGAAAATAAAATAATATTTAAAGACTTATTAGAATTTTTTCTTTATAAATAATACATAATTATATTTTATTTTTAATTCTCTTAATCACAATATTACTTGATAATAATTAGTGAGACTCCTAATCGATTTAGACACGATAGTGAAGTTCTTTCCCAACTCCGTCTCGTTGAGTTTGTTTCCGTGTGTATCACGATTCGATGTAGTGATCTAGGTTCCATGGAAAGCACACCTCCACACTCAAATTGATAATATTTAGTTTATTTACAGATTTCTATACGTAGAAGGTACACGTTTGAAAACATAATATATATATATATATATATATATATATGATAACAATGCGTGGTGACTCACGTACTAGCTTGGTTTCTGGTAACTTTTAAACTTTGAACAGGACTCAGTCAGCTCGTGGAGTTGGCTCAACTGCACGGTCCGTCCAGTCTCCGCACTAACCCGTCCCTGAGATGTTTATCAGAGGAGAACACTCTCTCTATGCTCAGCGGACCTTCCAAGTGCCTGAGACTACTGTGTACCAGTCTCTTGCTCTTCTCTCTTCCTCTCTCGTTCTTCCCGCAATTTAAGGGTTTTTTTGGACGGGGACTTCCGACCAATCACAACTCCTTCTTGCCCGAACAGCTTACAACTCGGGTCCGCCGTCATCCGACGAAAGTGAAGCTTACATAAATGTCCGCCACTTGTTTACATTCAGTTGTTTACCATATGGCAAATGGTCTATCCTCTATCGTCTGACTACAGGTGGGTCCATTGACAAAGCCGGCGCTTTCTTTGTTTTCCCTTGTTTACAGGTCAATACCTTATAAGTGGTATTACCCGACCGCACGTGGGTCCAATTGACAAGGTTGTGCCTCTTTTGTTCCCACTCTGCAAAAAGGTCAATACTTTACAACGATCATATAGATTATAAAAGTTTTTTATGTTTATGAAAATATCCGTAATTTAGATATGTTCGGGAGATACGGAACAGGTTTTTTTTTTTTTTTTTTTAAATCTTCACAGAAGTTTAAAGATTACTTTATATATTACTTTATCTACGATCTTAATTAACAATGGACGTTTACTCAATTATTATTTTGCAAAATATGATTAAATACAAAACTTGATGTCTGAATATTACATAATAGTTTTTTATCGTTCATTGTATTTATTATCTTATGTTTATGAAAATGTTTTATATTCATACGAAATTATCGTATGAATATAAAATATGTTTAATACTAAATTAAACCGTAATTAAAACGTGTTTAATACTACGAGTTTCGTTGAAAAAGTAATACAATAAAGCAGAATTTATTTTGATGCTAGTATGAAACATACAATCATGAAATTTAGGAATGTCATGTTATTTTTCAACCAAGTTTTCGCCCTTGTCTTTGGCCATACGCCAGCACTGATGAAGGGATGAAGGACACGTGTGCCAGCTCTAATACTAGTCCTCATTCCGTGCATGCAAACACTTTTTCATAGCACTGATAACATCTTCATCTGACTGGAACTTTATTTTTGGTCATCTCGTCGCCATCAAAACTCCTAGCCTTACAAAAGTTATTATGCAATTCGTTGCTGCTGTTTGGTTAATCATGAGCTTCTTCGGGACCCATCGTGAACACATTTTGACATATCCATGTTCACGTATGATTTGACGAACACTCCCGGTAATCAATCATTTCTCGAGAATCGGTTCATGAACGCGCTGCGTCATGGTTGCCATAACAATTTGCAGAGATCTGGTATTCCTATTGTCGTTGAATTCGCGCATTTCTCCCAATCACTGACGGTGCTTCGGTTGACAGTTACAGTACCATAGATACCACACAATCGTTTGTAAATGCTTCCAACAGCTCCTTTTCAGCAACGACGAATTTTATTACTGTATGCATGCTGCTTGCAACGTAAGTCGCTGACATTCGCCATTTTTTAACGAAGATGTTGTGGTTCCGCCTGACGGGGTACTTTAAATTTTTCGCAACGTTATCAAAAGCTTTCGGGTACAACTGAAAAGTGGAGCCATGTCACATTCTTCGTTTCTCATATTTAAATTACGATGCAGTTCTTTTCGAACACCCTTTGTAAAAGTGCATATTTTTAATTAATGTGATCTTTAATGACATTTTCTAATAATTTTTTATTAAGTTGTAGGAAAACTTTTTGCATTTTCTTTTATATTTATAACTTACGCATACATTTAAATCCTATTTAAATAAATTCGAATCAAGACGAATCGTGATCGCTAGCAACAAAAAAAAACTTTAGTTTGTCAGTGGTTTGTCGAGAACATGTTGAAAATTTGCCAAATTTGGAAGATAGTATCGCATCGCATGAGAGAATATAAGAGAACCAATTCAGATCTTTTATTATTATTATTATTATTATTAACGTCAAAACCTGACTTAACTAGGGCAGGTTACATAGCGTTACAAAACACGCGGTCCTTTCGGCCCCCCAAATTTTTTTTGATTTTTGGAATGTTTCTTAAGTCTCCAAATTTTTTCAAAAATTTTTACCCGCGCAAAAAATTTTATCGCGATTTTAATCAACCTTTAATGACGCGCGATTGTTTTTTAATGCGATTTTTTTTATCAAAATTAATTAATCGTTCTAAAGTTGTAGTGCACGGATTTGACTTCGGTAAAGTTATTTAAAGCTACTTTATGATGTCAAAAACGACCTCCAATAGTTTCTTAATGTTTTTAAAATTAATATATTTTATTATATATAAGTTTAATTAAATCGGGGGGAGGGTCGGAAATCGAAATTAAAATTTTATTTTTTTAAAAATATTTACCGCCAGATAATATTCACCCTACTTTAAATACTTGTCCTCCCGAGACATCTATGAGAATGTCCCGGGAAATCCGACACCAGATGTCCTCAAGGTCATCCAGCTGTGTAAACAATGACCCATCGGTGTCAAATTTCACAGAAGGGCGAGAAAAAGGAAGTTAAACTTTGAAGCTTTTTTTTCAAAATTAACGTATTTCTTTCGTTTTTTTCAGTTTTAAGTATTTTTTATGTTTAATTAAAAATTCCTTTAAAAACATTCGTACGGCAAGTGGTTAAATATCTTCTGCATATCCTTAAATGGCACTGTATGAAATTTGATTGCAATTAGAGTGATAAATATCTATTTGGCCGGCATTGACTTTGGGTTCTGTAAATACAATCATGATCCCACTTATAATTAGTGTTATTGGAAACTTGCAAAAAATAGATTTTTCCCCCTATCTAAACATCGCGTTATTTACGAGCGTACAGAATTATATGCAAATGCAATATTAAATGTGGAAATGCACCTGTAAATAAATATATTTTATTTTTTACATTTAGAAAACAAAACATATAGGCTATTGTTCAAGTGTATATAGTAAATATATATACATACATACATACTTATTTCTATTTTCGGAAAGTCAGAGGTCAATCCACATAATCTGTATTCCGATAATTGGAGTTGTACTGTACAAAACAACCAATAATTTATCATAAATGAATGAATTTAATTGCTAATAATACAAATAATTACTATTTAATTTATATCCAGTTTTATAGATGACCTGTATTATCCAAGATTAATTAATTCACAATAGTAATTAATCAAAATTATTAACATTATTATCATCTTCCAGATATTAACGTCATATTCACAGATTTTACTTTAAATTATTATTGGCATTCTTCAGAAGTTTTCTTGACTTATTGAAATAATTTTATAATTTTATATTAAAATTTAGTTATTAATTAATATATGAAAATAATAGCAATTGATTAAATAATTAATATTTTTCAGATCCGTTATGAAATTAAAATATCTCAATATTTTCTTATCGAAGAAGTTTAGACAATTAGGATTATGTGTTGGTAATAATCCTTCTTACTTTATCGTCATTCCGGTGATTGTATCCGTGGTATTAGCTACGGGTCTTCACAAGTGGCACGAAGAAAGGAATGTGAAATATTTAATTGCACCCAAAAATACCAGACACGTTACTGAAGAAGCCTCAATAGAAAGATTATTTCCAATGAATCTATCTTCCGAAGCACACATGGAAAGAATGAACAGAGAACCAAACGTAGCAGTAGTTTTAGTTAAAGCAAAAGATGAAGGATCCGTGCTTCGAAGAGACGTATTTCAAGAAATTATTCAACTGGATAAAACTGTTCAAAATATAAAAACTGCAGAGAATTTTACATATAAAGATTTATGCGCAAGAAATAACAAGAGATGCTTCGAGAATTCTATTTTATTAATGCAAAACGAAATCGAAATGATGGAAAACAACAATTATTCCATCAAATACCCTTTAAGCAAGAAAGATAAATACGATTTTCAATTAACGAGTCTATTTTTAGGAGGAGTCGAAAAAAATGCAGACGATTACGTTGAAAGTGCTAAAGTATTGCGACTCGTTTATTACTTTAACGACTATTCGAAACTTGAAAGAAGGAAAGTGGACGAATGGCAAAATCTGTTTTTAGATCTTATTGAATCGAGTAATTTTCAGTACATAATCGTCGATCGATACACATCGATTACAATTGAACAAGAGTTATCAGCTGTCGTCAGACGAATATTTCCTTGAATACCGATTGCAATGTTAGCAATAGCAATCTTTTCAATGCTGACCTGTTTGTATAACAGTTGGATCGAAAGCAAACCTTGGACTGGAATAATTGCGTTAACATCGGGAGGAATGTCTTTGGCTTCGTCATTTGGATTGATTATGTATTTTAATACACCNTATGGTTCTGGAATATCCTACAAAATAAATTCAATGTTTCATCATACGAAGAGAGAAGTTGTTCTCATAATGTTGTGGAAAATTAAATCAACTCTAGTTGATAATATGGAACAGAAAAAGTCATCTGAAAAACTGCACGAAATTCTCATTCAGAATAGCAATTTTTATGAAAATTCAAAATTCTAAAATGATTCTGAGGCAAATTGCATCTCACCTAGTTCTGTCTCAAAATAAACAGTATACAGAACTATCTAATCATCTACGGAATAACATAAATAAAACAAATTCAGCCTCTAAATAATAGTCACAAAGACGAACTTTTGACGCAGGCTAAATATCAAATACGCAAACTGATAAATGGCAACGAGAAGTGATGAGAAGAAATTCAAGATAGATGGACCAAATTTATTTTATTCACATTTTTTTTTGTTATTTTAAACTTTATTTTTTAAAACTTACTGAAGACTGATGTATGGTATTGAAAGTGTTATGGTGTGATATGTATTTCGAAGGAATCGTATGACGAATCTAGCTGTTATCAATGGCCGTATTATTGCTATAGGATATCAGCAAGTACTAGATATGCAACTAATACCTTTTGCAATAAAATTAAAGGAAAGTTTTTTAATTTGAACAAGATGATGAACCCATTTATAATGGAAAATCAACTTAGGACTATTAGCAAATGATGTGTATGTTATTTATTGCCTAATCCATGTTCCTCTGATCTTAATCTTATTCATCTAGTTTCTTGTGGAATCGGACCGGAGTGCTCTAGTTGTCAAGAAAGCTTTCGAACTTCCTGTTTTGAGAGGGTGTATAGTTGAATGTAACGAAAGTAGTAATTTTGTCTCAAAGGAAAAAAACATAATTCACGACATATCTTAAAAAAATCACTTTATAAAAAGACTGGCGATTACTGTGTGGCAGTGTGCTGAAGTATGTGCAGCGTTATTACAAAAACGTGTAATATATTAATAGCAACAAAACTGGTGGCTGTACGGGCAGGCTTTAATACACTGAAAGGTGCAGCTAAGACTTGTGGTTCCTGGCCATGTGACAACAGACTGCTTGTTTAAAACAAGACAACCTATCAGCAGTTTCTTCAACTTGTGAAGAGCTATCACACTCATCTCTGACACTGCAACAGCAACAGTTAGACCTGCTGCTTTTTCCTAGTGCTCTCACTTCTTTGGCTGTCTGTCATTGCTTTTCCTTGTGCTATCCTGCGATTTTCACTCTTCGGCTATTGTTTTTTGTTTTTTTTTGTATTTACCATTTTGTTGTATATACCATTTTTGTTGTGAGCAACTGACAATGTAAGTTTCTCACAACAAAATTACGAGAAAAACTACACTTTTAATATAAATTACGAACGATCTATGTCCAAATTATGGTTGCTTTAATGTTAAATGTGTCACGACTGTTTATTAATCATCTTCGTGCTGTAGTTTCATTCTGATAACTTTCTAATATATCCAGGAAACTCTCTTTGAACATCATAATCTAATTAACGAAGCATATGCATTATATCATAGTTTTCATCGTTTGAAATCGAGCGTCAAGAAATGGGAGTTCTATTCTTTTACTTTAATATATAGTCCATTTTCTGAAACATTTGTAATCTTCCAGTCTTCCTGGAAGATTACAAAGTACAATATCATTTCATTTAGCAAAATTGCAAAATCTCAACTTTTACACGAGCGGAATTTTCCGTACTGATCTGAATCTATGCTCTAAAAACTATTTATAAAAATTATTATTTAACGTAACACAGCTCCTCAGCTATTAATGGTTGTATTCCGTTCCTAAACATCGAGCCTCTCCAGAGAGGTGGAACATTTAGATGTAATTATGCAAATTATGTGCTGTTCCAATTAATGCAGTTCCTGTAGCTTGTAGGTGTTAATTCTATTAAGGTGTAGGTTCCTTAGATATTGCTCTAAATCCATTAAAATGGCTCCTATATGTTCAAGATACAATTGGAACTATGTTTGCCGTTACAGTCGTTCAACTTTGATTTGAAGGTTCTTATAATTTAGTGTCTCTCTCTCTCTGCAATTTGAAAAACATTGTAGACATGTAAATTCCTACTGTTGTCCGTCTTCGTGTCTTTCCTTAATCTCGAGAACGGAGTTAGAGAGATGAAAGCCGATTTCCGATATGGAAATCTTAAACAGAGTATTATATCGTCTTCGCGATGTAGCCTGATTACCAAGGATCACAAGTGACTTGCGCAAATCGACGATTACGAATATATGAAATTGTTATTTCATATATTCAAGTGTTATTGTAAGATGTTATTGTAATTGCAAGTGTTATTGTAAAATGCAAATTTCATTATTTATTTTTAATTGTCTACTTGCACATTACTCATTAATAGGACTTTACACCCTAGTTTAAAAATTGACACAATAATGAAAGTTAGTTCAGAAAAAACAAATTTTCTTTATTAAATCACCTGTAGTAGTAACTTTTTCTGTACACTTAAATGTGTTTCGGGGCGTGTTAACCTGAAACACATTTCTCATTATTGACAATTAAAAATAAATTAGAAATAACGACTGTAAGACAATTATAGGCCTAATAGAAAATTCATTATATTTGAGTCATCGATTGGTGGCACATACCGATGAATCCGAGTAGCTTGGTACATATAACTCAGTCGTCTGTCTGAAAGCGGCTTACGCTCGATAGTGATATCCTTTCAATATTACACATGACAAAAATGTTTTGTAAATGTAAATGATAACGATAGTTTACTCTAGTTTAATTCCAAATTATTTTAGTTAGTTTGGTATAATGTTTGTTATTCAATAATTCTTAAATTTATAACTTTTTCATCATAAATATTGAATGCAATTTTCCTTTCAGGAGTAGCCATGGACGATGCCTTTGTTTTTCTTGCTGCGTGGAAAAGAACCGATTATCATAAGACCGTTGCAGACAGACTCTCAGAAGTTTATTCGGAATCCGCCATTTCTGTTACTGTAACTTCAGTAACGAATTTCATAGCTTTCATTTCAGGACTGTTCACCCCTTTCAGAGCCATATCTTATTTTTGTTTATACGCATCGATTTCTGTTCTCTTTTGTTACGTTTATCAGATAACGTTCGTTGGTGCATGCATGGCACTCTTTGGATATGTGGAGAAACAAGGAAGACATTCTTTATTCTTCACGAAAATAAATACACAAACAGGTAAAAATATAACGAATCTTTTGGTAGTAGTTCCAGAAACTAATGACGACAAATTTTTTTTTCTAGAAAATCATTCATGGATTCGAAAAATACTCTTCACCACTCCTAGGTCATCAATTTGGACGAAGCTCGGTAATATTTTATTCTTATGGTATGTCATGATAATTATTCTCTTCATCATGGCAGGATACGTGGCAGTTGGAGTTTGGGGAGTGACAAAAACAGACACTATAGGATCATTATCCGACTCTTCTGCATACGATTCATATCATTTGCAGTATCATAAAAATGTTTTTAGATATTTCAAGCATTACGAAAACAGAATCCAAATCGTTGTCGATCAAGAAATCAATTATGCAGATGTGGAAATTCAGAATCAAATAGAAAATCTTTTTTCCGAAATGGTGAGAAAAGGATTGATTGCAGATTTTCTTACCGAATCTTGGCTCCGAAGTTTCTTGAAATTCGTCAAAGACGATTCAATGGTTTCTATTGTTAAGTCATACAATATGAGCGACACAAAAGATTTTATTGTCGTTTTGCGTAGAATGTTTCTACGCCATCCGTATGCACAACGATTTCGTAATGATATTGCCTTCAACTCTGACTATACAGCTATCGTTGGAAGCAGATTTCTTTGTCAGACCAATTTCACTATTGACGAAAAATCATTCTACGTGACTTTACAGAGACTAAGGAAAATCACTGATAAAATGCCATTCCGTGTGTTTCCGTATTACTTCTTGAATTATGCTGTCGACAGCATTGACTTGCGTATAAAATTTACTGTTCAACTGTTGTGTAGTATTGTATTAATTGTAATTTTTGTGTGTTTCGTTTTCATGCCAGACGTCGTCGTCACGTTTTCGGTCACTCTTTCTATTGTTACTATCGAAATTTCTACTTTGGGTTACATGGCTTTCTGGGATGTGGAATTGGCACCAGTGTCTATAATTGTCTTAGTCATGTGCGCCGGTTTTTCGGTGGATTATTCTGCTCATATGTCTCATGCTTATAGACATTGCGACATTAAAGATTCCAATGAACGTCTTCGTCATAGCATCAATTGTATAGGATTCGCAATATTTCAAGGTAGTGCAACAACTATAATTTCCGTGTTACCTTTAACCATTCCATTGGCGTATATATTTGTCACGATTTTTAAAATAATCTTTTTGGTTATTATGTTTTCTTTTATTACTGCTTTGGTATTTTTGCCGGTTATTTTATCGACACTGAATTATATGAAATCGAAAATGTGCGAAAGAAAGAAAAGAAGTAAAACCCTCGACCACAAAGTCGACGGGCAGGCAAATTTTGGTTATCAATCGTCAGAAATTTGTACATAAATACGTTTCAAGGCGCTCTCGTCATTAATTAATCGATTTTAATTAATAACTTAATAATGTATTAATTATTTCTCGAGGAAGACATCGTGATGTGCAGCATTCAGTTTTCATACTGCTCTGAATAGGGTTTTTGATAGGTCAGTTCCATTAAACATCCAGGAATGGATGAGTTTGGCACATCCCCTAAAACTATGGTCACGTCAATCGTTGTGGAAGCTGCGACGAGGTATCTGTAAGTGTCTGAGTCGTTTTAACTGCCTATTGACTTTATACAACCAGTTTATATTCACTTGTTCGTTTTTTTAATAGTCAGTCTCTCGTTTCTCGAATGATTTTTGCCGTTGTTTTCCTTCATCTTCCTTTGTTTTATTTTTTCGAACATCTTTAAAGGCAATGAACGATGACAACTTCTTTTGGTATAGTTAGTCACACAAGACGATGATGAAACGAGATTTTTCGTGATCAGTTCGTATTTCTTTTTTATAATCAGAGTTCGGACGAAGAGACTGACATTTTTCCTTAAAAAACAGAAACAGAAAGCCATGTGTTGCTCCGGAAGACCGGGAGTAAAATCTGGATGGGTCGAAACATTACAGGAAGTTTAACAGATTGGTCTGCTTGAGGTTGATCCAGAGCCGTAACTAGGCAGGTGCAAGAGGTGCATTCGCACAGGGCCCACTTGGAAGGGGGGACCAAACTGCTGTTCAGGAGAAATTATAGTTTTAAATCTTAAATTTTTCCTCCCTTTTATTGGCGATTACATTTTGCCTTATTTAAACCCTAGATGTCTGCTCACCAGTGTTTTCAACCGTGGCGACTTTTAGAGGAACGTAGTGAGATAGCGGAGACCTGAGACAAATCAGCCAAAAGTAGGGACTTTTGAAATTTTGTTTGTTTATTTTTTGAGAAATTTAAATTTATGTTTATAGTTTTCAAATTTATAGATTTTTTCTCTACTTTATAGAGCTCTCTGGCAACGACTAATATTATTATGATATACAAAACTGTATTTCTAGATTTATCTACAGTGTGCAAAGCTAGAAATCTGTAAAGGTAACATTTTGTAAGAAAAATAAATCTGCCCGAGGATTTTTTTTAATTGCTAAATAGAAGACGTGGTAACTCTCGAATAAAATCTTAGTCTCGAGGTTGTAAAGGGCGTGCAGAAATTCTGACATAACTTTTTGCTTTGTAGTGGTGTTGTATACCTCAACGGCGGATTAAGCGGTAAGCGAACTATGCGGCCGAGTAGGGCCTCGAAGGTGCCCCCGAGGTCTTTAAAATGCTGCTGAAAAAAAGGCTGATTTTTGCTTTCTCTATGGCTCTTCTTTACAATACATGAGTGTTGCTGATTTAAAAAAAATCAACTGCAGATCTCCCTATTAAATACAGCAAAGATTTAAAAAAGTACGAATCCACAAGTGAAATTGAAAGTTTTAAGTTTGAAGTAACGACTCTTATACAAAATATAGAAACTGCATCTCCGTTTAATATTCTACTTGCTCTTCATGATTTTGGTTTGAGTCTTACCCAAATATCAATGTCGTATATATTTCTAATATTTCTAACTCTTCCCGTTTCTATTGCTTCGTGCGAGAAAAGTTTTAGCAATTTAAAATTAATAAAAAAATATTCGTGTTCAACTATCGGGCAAGAACGATTATCCAATATTTCTATTATTTCAATAGAATACATTATCATTAAAAATATTCTTCATGATTTTGGTTTAATTGAGTCTTACCCAAATATCAATGTCGCTCTTCGAATATTTCTAACTCTTCCCGTTTCTATTGCTTCGTGCGAGAAAAGTTTTAGCAAGTTAAACATAATAAAAAATTATTTAAGATCAACTATCGGACAAGAACGATTATCCAATATTTCTATTATTTCAATAGAATACAATATCGTTAAAAATATTANAAAATCGATAGAAGTCCAAATGCGTTGTTTTTAATTGAATATAAGTATCGGGCAAACTGTTCAAGTATCAAAAACAACTCCATTTTATTTCTTTAATGCAAGCAGCAAATCGCATTGAACCCTGCTCCTCTGGAAAGTCACCTTACTTTATTGTGTAAAAGAAGATCAGAATATTGACTTTTGACTTGGGTAAGAAGTTCATAAAATTGCCGATGATATAGTGGTCTTGCCATTATTTTGTTCACAATTTGTACAACCAGGTTTATAACTAGTGTTATTTCCCTCGGAAAAGTTTGCGAACAAAGTACCTCTTGATGGATTGTGCAGTGAAAAGAAAAAACGTCATGCAAAATTTGTTTTTTAAACATAGAAACAAAATCTTTCTTTTCATCTTTCAAACTTGGTGCTCCATCGGTTGTAATTGACACTATTTTATTAATATCAATATATTTACTTTTCAAACAAATGGTAACTTATACTACTAAACACACCTGATTATATTTGTCGAGTTTTTTCTCTTTATTCCAAACGTTTTCAGCCTAGTTGGATAGGCCATCTTCAGGTTTTCACATTCATCGTTCAAATATGGTAACAGCAGATTCTATATCTTCACATCGAATTTGTCCGGTAAGTGGCAGTATATCAAGTAACTCTTCCTGAGGACCGCCAAAGTTAACATATCTACCAATAAGTACAACCTGTGCAATATCGTTCCCATTGCAAGATTCATCACAGGCAATAGAAAATCCTGGTATTGAACATAAATCCGTAACCTGCTGACTAGTTACATCTTCTGCCGTACGAATAGTTCTGTCTCTTACAGTTTTAGAGGACAATGGAATGTCTTTTATTTTAGCAATTATTTTTGTTTTATTTTTAAAATCGCAAAAAAAAAAAACACTCAGACATTTCAGTAAAACAATCTTTCACAAAATCGCCATCCGTAAATGATTTTCCCCCTTTTATTATTTCTAGAGAGGCAACAGTAGTAGCAGTAGTTGTATTGTTGCTTGATTTTATCCGATTTGAAAATGTACCGTATCTTAAGTTCATTTTACGTTGAAGTTCTTCTACTGCCTTTCATCTTTCTTCTCCCTCTCGATAAGTGTTTGCAAATGCTTCATGTTTATTTAAAAAATTGTACATTTGATTTTTGGTTATTACAAAACTTTTCTTGACATATTAAACACATTGGGAATCAGGTTAAATTTGAAAGAACTGCATAAAATTCAGTCCATTCACTTCTAAATTCTCGATTCTCTTCTTCTACTTTTCTCTTTTTTCCAGCCACGTTAATTAAAAAAGTAGAATAGCGATTTTCTATCAATCTAACAAATAATAAAACTTATATATTAACCTGGTTTTTATATTTTACGCGCAAGAAATCAAATAGATAATATTCTACGGAAATAATATAATTATAATAAACTAACTTGATAAAACAGTAAAATGAACACAATGACAATGAACACAAGAGCGACACTGTAAGTCAGAAATGCTAAAATCATTGGAAATAAAAACACTCATAAAATCTTGGGACAAACAACAACTGTTTTATCAGTCATAAAAATAAAGAAACCTTTCTATTTTCAGTACAATAAACATTTCTCACGAGCATAGTCTAATTTTTACACTTTGTGCCATCAAAGACTTGATAATTGCAACCAGATGTTCTGGTCTTTATAAATGCTTATATATGTATAATATGTATTCCTACTCTGACAGTGAAATGATAAGTGATTAGTGAAAAAATCTGGTAAAAAATATTAGTGGCGTTTCCGTTTACTTGTTATCTTTTCCTTTTACTTAAGTAAAAATTTTTATTTTGTTATATGTATATTATTTACTAANCACACGTGACGGGCTGTGATTGGCTCACGTATTTAAGGATTCCTAAACGCAAAATTCTTATAAAGCGGAACGTATCTACCGCGTTATAGGGGGTCGACTGTATTTGTATCTAAATTACTGACAGTTTTCTAGTAATTTAGACCCAATACTACATTACACGCTTACTACTGACGTAGTTAAGATGTCACTCGCCATTCTGCGGATCCAAAATAAAATTGAACAGTCAAACCTCAACAATTTCTAGACCCCATCCCTCACCACTCGATTTCCTTCATTATGAACCTAGCTACAATCACAATGGGTATAAAAAAGGACCTCTTACTTGTTAGTATCCAAAGGACAGACAGTTAAACACATTATAAACAATTCTGTTACCTAGCTGGTGATTTGTCTTATATTCGGTGAAACTTATTTTTCATCATAACCAAATTGCTAAAATTAATTTTAAAATGAGCATTTATTTATTGTGCATGGTCACAATGCTGGGCTGCAAGTTTAAGTTTATTTAATTTAAATATGCTCTCCACCTCAAATTAGTACTGTACTGTACATCATACTTTTCTGTTAGCAATGGAGTTATGCCAGTTATCTGTCCTTTCGGTAAAAAATTTTTTGAATTGAAATAACTTGACGAATTAACTATATGCGAACTTCCGATGCAAACCGGAAGTTCGAATATAGTTAATCGTAAGGTGACCAATCGTTCTCATTTAGGGAGGACAGTCCTCCTTTTTGATATTTGAAGACTAATCTGTAAATCTCCGTATTCAATCAACGCCGAACCGATCTGTTGCGTGTGATGTGATATGAAGTGTTTGTATTTAACATGACGATTCATCAAGGCTCTGTACAGTGCGACGAGATGCAATTATGAGACGCATACTCTTCGCACGGGAGACATTGAGAGAGAGAGCGCACGCAAATGGCTTTGTTTACTTCTTATCGAAACATGACATGGCACCTATGCATGCAGTAGAGATTATTATAGTGCAATGATTCCCAAACTTTTTCGATCCATCGCCCCCTTTCTTCCATAAAGTTATACCCAACGCCCCCTAACCCATTTTCTCTTGTGTGAGAAAGGATTGGAAATATTCTTAGGAAAACTTTTCTATGAATCTCACACTTTGTGCCCTTATTGTACATCATTGTATATTTTCTCAACATCTGGAAACCATTAAACTCAATGTTTCCTCTTTTAACAGAGTCAAGGGAACGGCTTTCAGTGATCCCAATTTTGCCTTTGGTTACTGTTCAATACCCTACTTCCAGCGCTCCCCTAGATTTACTCATCGCCTACAAGGGAACATTATTGCCCACTTTGAGAATCGCTGTTATAGTGTATTATTGTTGCAATGAATAAAATGTTTTTTTATTTACGATATTTTTTCCTTCAATTTATTACTGTCCTCCTTTTCATTGTAAAAAAGTTGGTCACTTTATTAATCGGGGTCTGTTACCCCTAAGCTTTCAACATCTGGTCTTGACTTTCATATATCTAACTCCGTTCTGGCAACAGACGGATGGACGGATGACAGTGGGAATTTGCAGGTCTACAATTTTTTCAAATTGCACCCCAATAAAAATGTTGATTGTTTATTTGAAATATTTAATATTGATTAAATAATTGATTGAAATTACATTTAAATATAATTTCAAATTAAAAATATGTTTCATTTGAAATATTTGGTTATTTAATATGCTGTATTTATTGAGAAAAAGTCAAAAATGAATAAAATTAGTCATCAAAATCCTATTCTAATACTCATATTTAAGTAACAAAATAGACTTAAGGAATAAAGCAACTGAATGATTTTTATATTCATATCAATTCTAGCTTAAAATCAATTTAGAATAATTAGAAAAAATTATTTAAATTACAAAACAAAATGATGAATTAAGAGTTAATGTTTCTTGAGATACAATGGTAGATAAATTTTTTTATGTGATTAGAACCATCAGTTTTAAATTAATAAAAATCAATTTTTTTTTATTAAATTTGTTTATTTCAGTAACTAAAATGCCATTACATCACTACAGTTGAAATACTAACAATACATATAACAGTTCATTGACCTTTGAGGTCTAACAAAATCAATCTGTTTCTCTTCTTATTGTTGTTTACTTCCTCAATCTTAATAG